CAGGAACTGTGGTTTTGAAATTTAGGACACATGACTTGTGTTGCACTTCCTCACAATTTACTTTTCTTTTTCTTCTGAGGAGGAGAAAGGAAGGGATAAGGGCAGAGGAGGGCTGGGCTTTGGTGGTTCATCTTTGTCAGTTGGGATAGATTTTTTGTCACCTGCTGCTGGACAGAGGAATTTTTTATGAAGTATCAAAACTTCTCTAATAATTTCAGATTTAGAAATGTTACATATCTGGAAATTATGCAGTAGCTAATTTTCAGGGCATCATCTCCGTTAAATCCTAGCTTTTTTGACTCAGTGAGAGCTGTTCACTTGGAAGATTTGGAGGTTTGCTACATGTGAAATGCTGGCTAGTGGTTTGATGGTAGAGCAAGGTATTTTCAGACTATTTTCTCTAACTGGAGCCCAAAATATGAAAATATAAACACATAACAAAATGTGATAGGGCTGGTTTTAGGACAAACAGCTGTTGCAATTTCAAAAAGATCTTTTGGTTGCCTTTTTTTGAGAAATAGAAATCTCAGAAAGTTCTAGGAATTTTGATGTGTTTTCCATGCTGCAGTGTGCAAATACTTTTATGCAGGTGTTGCTACACATTTAGACTGTTTTAGGCTCGTGCTACTGATGATGAAAGAAAAGTACTTTTCTCCCCTTCTTGTCTGCCTTCTGCCTTTGTGCTTGGCCACATGATTAGCTGTTTACAAAGTGTGTAGGACTACTCACTGGCCCACTCAGTAGGTTTGGTACCTTCCACACCACATGATTAGCTGTTTACAAAGTGTGTGGGACTACTCACTGGCCCGCTCAGTAGGTTTGGTACCTTCCACATTGTCAGCTTAGGCAGAGTGAAACTGCACTGAGTACATTCACATGAGCTTTCAAAGTCAAATGTCTTGTCTTTTTGCCTGCACCTAAAAAGAAATGAGATGTTCTTGTCCCGACTCTGTAGCAATTACGAACCTCATATTTGTGGTCCTCAGGCTATGAGCTGGAGGAAATAACCCCTGGCTGTCTGCTGTGCTAGCCATTGTTTCCTGGTTTCTGCTTATCTTCAGTGATAGTTGCAGAGACAAAGATAAGGTGTATTGGTATGCAGAGAGCATTTTCAGGATTGCAAGCAGTGTCTGGTTAAAGCTGAGTGCTGCTTTCACGATGGACCCACAGTGTATTCTGAAAGTTGCAGTAGGAGGGTAGGTCACTTCTGAGAGCTCAGATCCAAGCTTCAGTCTCTATTTTTAGAGATGCATACGAGAGGAAGAAGAAAAACGGTCTCAGTTTCCCGGAAAAGGAGCAGTGTTTGCACCTTTGAGGTACATGAGCACGTTTTGAAGTTTCTGATGAAGAATAACTGGTGTAAGCATAGTGTAAAGCCCAGGAATGAGTCTTCAGGGAACTTGTTAATGTAGCTACATCCCCATGTTTTACCTCTTGGGGAGGCACAAACTTTGTCACAAAAGACCAGAGTTTGGCTGTTTTTGTAATTGGCCTTACAGTTGCAATTCAGATCAAATGTTAGTTAACAAATCCGTTCTGACAAATGAGAAAATGTTGCCCTTTCTTTGTGAACAAAGTCTGGATGTAATAATATCCTTGTGTGTTTCTTGGAGGCTGAGCTGCTGGAGCTGTGTAGTGTGAGTAGAAGGTGTGTCGAGTATGAAATGCAGAGAGTGCTCACTGCCTCTAAATGCTGGTTGACAGCTGTCCTCTAGTTTCCGTGGGATAGGTGTGTGTAAGGGGTTTGTCTGCTGGAGTACAACAGAAGTTACTCGGGCAAGGCTCACCGGGCCTCAAATAAGGCTTTTGTTGAAGGTGCTAATCTATTGTAATCTCTTTGGCTGGAATAAAAGCAGGTGCTTGATAGCACAGAATGTGCTTTTTGGCAGGTATGTTGGCAGAACCGTAGGGTCGTTCTCTGGTTTTTAGATTTATTTTTTGTAAGAGTGAAATGTCAAGACGAAGAGAGGACCGAGATGCGCTCCCTGTTCAGCACTGCCTTACAAGCACAGCAGGGCTGTAGCACAGCCTTTCACAGAGACCTCTCCACCCCAGGGGTTTCATGTGAAATTGGATCAAATAGCGCTCAGACTACCACAGGACACAAGCCTCTCCCTCAGGGAGTTGTTTACTTTTTGGTGAAATGGTAATACATTGGAGCTTTCGGGGCTGGAGGGCAGAAAGTGGTCATTCAGAACCTGTGTAACCCATGGCTGATGGTTGTAAAACAGGAGTTAAACAAATCTGTTTTGTGCAATGGGAGGTAAAGCATTTGTGTGTTACTTTACACAACACGTCTTTTAAAATTAGCAGTTTGAAAACACTTTCACTTGGAAAAAGCCTTCTTGTGTATTATTCTAGAAGCTAGTTTGACAAAATTTAGAGCTGAGAAGAAACTGGAGTTCTAAATGCTCCCAGCATTAAAATGATAACGCCAGCGTCCCTTTGGGAGCAGGGTGTTCCTCTCATTTATGGATTCTGAAGCAATTTCTTAGGTGTAGACTTAAAAGAACCCTGGTCTCAGCTGGTTGTGATCAGTCTGTGTGTTTGTACGTCCGAAGTTTTTCAAACTCGGTGTATGTTTTTGGAATTCTGATATAAAGTAGCTGACTGTGGGGCAGGACCACCCACTGCATGATTTCCTGCAGACATAGATCACCATGATGCTGAGACATACTTACCTGCCCTGCCCCTGGTGGTATCTGAGATACAGGTCTTGAACTGCCTTGTCTGTTAGTGCTGTTCATGTGTACTTCCAAAGCAATGACCAGTAAGCTATAGCTCTGGTTACTGACATTAAAATACAACTCTGTAGCACTTGGAAGACACGATTGATGTGGAGATGTGGGAGAATTTATTGTCCTCTGTTTCAAAAGGGTTTGCTATTTCAATTAGAAACTTAATGACAGAGGTGCCTCAAGACTTTTTGTTGTCATTGTTTTACCAGCTTATTAGCCAAAATATTACATTGTTGGTTTCAAGATAGAGAAGATCTCTCAAAACTTAGCTAAAAACTAACCTGACCTTTCCCATGTTTGGCTTCCAAATTTTCTCTTCATGGCATATGGTTCTTGGGTAAACTTAACTTTTAGGGGTAGTTTCTTACAGCATCACTCGCCTAAGTAAGACTGGAATCTTTTGAATGTACAAGTTCATTTCTGGGTTTTTTTGAAATGACTTAGACTTTCATTTCAATGAGTGTGGTGAAGAGGTTTGTGGTGACTGAGCACTGCAGAACTGCAAAGCCACGTGAACGTTTGCCTGTCGTGCCCTGAAAGGAGGATTAGGAAGAGAATGCAATCTGGTAAACCAGTGTTGCTTCATTGTTAAGTTCTCTCATACATTACACAACGCGTTCATGTAATGTAGCACAGAATTTTTGATACATAAATTTGCTCAGAAGAGCTGTAGTGTGTATGTGGCTCTGAAGAGCCTATTCTCTGAATGAATAGTTCTGCCATAAAGTGCCACCCCAGCAGCCAAGCTGTCTGTCCTGGTTTGCATTGAGCATTCTGACGTGGACCTTAAGGAGATGTCTAGCTTAACGAGTGGCTTGTGACAGCAGGGCTTAAACGTGTGCTTGATGGGTTGAGCCCTTAGGCCTGAATTAATGGCCATGTCTGTGTAACATGAAGGTTTACACTGGTGTTCCATTCACTTGTACACACTCGAGTCACCTTGTGTGTTTTTTTGAAGTCTTTGCCCTCAGTTTTGCTGTCTGAAGAGAATATTGAATTTTTTTGAGAGTATTTTCATTGAAGCATAGCAAAATTAAGTTTGCTTTGTGTGAATTTTTGTGTATATGGATTTAGAAAATGCAGGCTTACGCTGTAATTCTTACATCATGTTAAGGAAGTTGCATATGCCCGTGGGTAGAATGGTGAAATTTTGGTAGTTCTTGGTGATGAATCTTTTTTGCTACTTAGTTTCTGAGAGGATTTTTAGGATTTGTCATGCTGTGAGTAGTAAGATCTGTAGATAACACTGCACATGTATTTACAGCTTTTTTCATCTTCAGGACTAATGGCCAAGGAGTAAACCAACATGGCAGCTATGGTCCCACCTGTGAAGCTGAAATGGCTTGAACATCTGAACAGCTCCTGGATCACAGAAGACAGCGAGTCTATTGCAACAAGGGAGGGAGTTTCTGTCTTGTATGCTAAGTTAGTTAGCAATAAAGAAGTAGTGCCATTGCCCCAGCAGGTTCTGTGCCTCAAAGGACCTCAGTTACCAGATTTTGAGCGGGAGTCTCTGTCCAGTGATGAGCAGGACCACTACTTGGATGCCCTTCTGAGCAGCCAGCTGGCACTGGCAAAGATGGTGTGCTCGGACTCTCCGTTTGCCGGAGCCCTGCGGAAGCGTCTCCTGGTGTTGCAGCGCGTCTTCTACGCACTTTCTAACAAGTACCATGATAAGGGCAAGGTGAAGCAGCAGCAGCACTCGCCGGAGAGCAGCTCTGGGTCCACAGATGTGCACTCTGTCAGCGAGCGCCCCAGGTCGAGTACGGACGCGCTCATCGAAATGGGAGTTCGGACTGGCTTAAGCCTGTTATTTGCACTGCTGAGACAGAGCTGGATGATGCCTGCGTCGGGGCCTGGCATCAGTCTGTGCAACGATGTTATCCAGACTGCAATAGAGGTCGTGAGCTCTTTGCCGCCTTTGTCGTTAGCAAATGAGAGCAAGATTCCACCGATGGGTTTGGACTGTTTGTCACAAGTGACAACATTTCTTAAGGGAGTAACAATTCCAAACTCTGGGGCAGATACTTTAGGTCGCAGATTAGCTTCTGAGTTGCTTCTCGGTTTGGCTGCCCAACGAGGTGCCCTGCGGTACCTTCTCGAGTGGATAGAAATGGCTTTAGGTGCTTCAGCTGTAGTAAACACCATGGAAAAAAACAAGTTGCTGCAAAGTCCAGAAGGGATGATCAGCTTTGATTGCTTTATGAGCATATTAACACAGATGCGACGGTCTCTGGTAGGTAAAGGTTGGCTTTTCTACACTCTGATGTAACAGGTTGCATTCTTAGCTGGATAGTTTGATGAATGTGTTAAAAGGTTTTTCCTGTGAATTTTCTCCCCTCAATATTTCTTTGTTTCACACCATCCCTTCCTCTCTGTGCTGGTTTGAAAAGCAAACCAGTGAGAAGTACAATTTAATATGAACAACACAACAAAACAACACAAATGCAACAGTACAAAAAAAGTAACCTGACAGAGTCAGAAAATAACCTGACAGAGTCAGAAAGTAACCTGTCACCCTGTCAGTCAGGGTGTAGTAGCAGTCCGATTAAATGGTGCTGCAGTCCTCCTGGAGGGATGGCTTTGTTGGAGCAGTGATCCCACAGATCTGCTCCTCTCCTGAAGGTCCAGCAGCAGCTCTTGTCCTCTGGGAATCCAGCAGGCAAAGGGCTCCCTGTGCTGGTCCAAACCCCGGCTTATATCCCTGTGAGCATGTTTGGCTCCCCACCCCTGGGGTGAGTCACCTCACCATGGGACAGGGGATAAGGATCACTGGGAGGATGTGTCCTGCATGGGTCCCTGACGGCCTGTTAATCAGAGACAGCCCCTGAGGGAGCCATCAGGATTGCCCTGAGGGAGGGACAAGGTGATAATGATCACTGCCCCACCTGCTTTAACAGCTTGTGGAGATGATAATAGAATACATACCATGGATACCCCCACACTGCAGCCCAGGACACTCTCCCTTCCTGCACACCCGTTTCCTCACAGGGAAAGATCACGACACAGGGATTGCTTTGCTGTTTCACTTTTAGCTCTAGCTTCAGGGAAGGAGTCAAGGACATACTTGGTCCACTTGCACACTTGTACATTCTTGTTAATAGTAAAAGGCTTAGAAAGTATGGAACTGTTTTTCTGGCTTCATTTACTGAATTTGCTCAAAATCCGAAGTTTTGCATTAGGCCTGGTTTCTCATTATTTTTATTTTATTTCACAGTTATTTTTATTGCACATTCCTCCTCCCCAGTTTACCTGGACCTGTGCATATGCATCTTTGGGATGTTCATCGTTTTTGCTACTGCTCAGAAGTTAATGTGATAGGGAAATGAGCTGGACTGGAAGTATGACATATTGCTTTGGATGTTGAGTGCTTACTTCTGGTCCTACCTGATCATCCTTTTTAAAGCTATGAAATTACTGCACAGTGTGCAATCAGAGGCTGTGGCAAGCTTCTGCCTCATATGCTCAGACTGAAACAGGGAACAGTTTTTTTTCCCCTCAAGTGGTCATTCTTTTCTCTCTTCTTAAAATTGTTTTGGTTGGTAATAAACATAAATTTTAAAGCCTAAAAAGTTTAAAGAGTGGAGACGGTGAGAAGAATGTCGCAGTGGCAGGATCTGAATTGGGATCGAATATCCTGATGGACATCTCTATTTGTTGTTGTTTTGAGATAGATATAAAATTAGAGACTGAAACATGGAAGATATGTAAATGCAAAATTAATGATGATTAGTCATTTTAAAATAAGTATCACTTTAAACACAAATAACCTGCATTTCAGAGCAAAACAGTATTAGGAGAAATTAGCTCTGAACCCAGATATTTTCACAGAGATGAATCAGTAAGAATGCTTAGCCAGCATTTGCTTTTCCATGATGGTGGTATAATTATCTGTTATTTAGGGGGTACGTACAGGTAGGTACCCAGGTGTACGTGCACAGGTACACATCGACCTGCTAAGATAATGATCACTCTTCTCATTAAGGCCTATTCTAGCTACCTTGCCACTAAGGCCTACTTTAGCTACCTTGCCACTGAGGCCTACTTCAGCTAGCTTGCCACTAAGGCCTACTTTAACTCCCATGATTTTAGAAACATTTTATCCCATGTTATCACTGTCACTGCAGTTCCTAGCACAGAGTCCCTCTCCAGCTCCTTGTAGCCCCTTCAGATGCTGAAAAGTTGCTCTGAGGTCTCCACACAACCTTCTCTTCTCCAGGCTGAACAGCCCCAACTCCCTCAGCCTGTCCTCACAGGGAGATGCTCCTGTCCTCTTAGCAACTTTGTGGCCTCCTCTGGACTTGCTCCAACAGTTCCATGTCCTTCTTGTGTTGGGGACAGCAGAACTGTGTGCAGCACTCCAGGTGGGGTCTCACAGGAGTGGAGCAGAGGGGGAGAATCACCTCCTTTGACCTGCTTCCCACAGGTCACATTTTTGGTTTCCTGAAATGTATGCAGATATCACAACTCAGCAGAAAGAGGTAGTGTACTTATGCTTATCGAAAGAACCTTTAATGTTGCTTAACGGTAAGAACAAATCCCTAATGTATTTTGTACAGGTGCTCTCTTGCTGTATAGAAGTATGTTCTCATAATAACAACATTTAAATGTTGTAGGGATCATCTGCTGATCGAAGTCAATGGAGAGAGCCAACCAGAACATCTGATGGCTTGTGTTCTCTGTATGAGGCAGCTCTGTGCTTATTTGAAGAGGTGAGTCTTGGAAAAGACTTTGAGGCAATTGTAGTTTACTTCCCCCTCACACGTCTGCACACTATATAGCCCAGTCTCAGATGAGTCATTCTGGAGTAGAAGAGGAAGACAAGAAATGGTGAGAATAATGTTGAGGGGCAATTAGAGTCGCATTGAACGTTGTGACTGTGTCGAAAGAAATACAAAATGCTGCTGTGTAACAAATCTCTGGTTTTAATAGGTTTGTCGAATGGCTTCCGACTACTCGAGGACATGTGCCAGCCCCGACAGCATTCAAACTGGGGATGCTCCCATTGTTTCTGAGACCTGTGAAGTGTATGTCTGGGGTAGTAACAGCAGTCATCAACTGGTAGAAGGAACTCAAGAGAAGATACTTCAACCCAAGCTTGCTCCAAGTTTTTCAGATGCACAGACAGTGAGTGACAGTTATAGTGGTACATTATGTGGCATCCAGTGGCCTCTTAGTGGCAGTATGAAATTGAGAAATAGCACTTTATTTCTGAGTGTCAAGTTGTGATGAAGGTATGATGCTCAGAATTGGTCACGGAAGTTACTTTACTGCAAGTGTCTCACTCCTTTTACTGATGCTTGGAAAAAACATTCTGTTTCGTTTTCAGTGACGTACAGAACGATATCCATGTAACAAGGACAACTGAATTACCTGACTAGCTATGGAGAGACAAGTTTGCTTGCCTGTAGTATTTTTGTTGGTTTTGGTGTTTGGTTTGCTTTGGGTTTTTTTACTGTTGGTTAAAAGATGTCTTAACGACTCAATCTTCTTTTCTGTTGGTGCTTTTCACACCGAGGTTGCCTAGCTGAAAAGTCCAAACTGGGCTAACTGCTGACACAGCAACCTTAATTAGCTTTCTGCAGATCAATGTACATGCTCTTCCTGCTCAGTCACAGATTCTGCAGCTGCAACTGAGCTCTTCTGTTGATTCATGACACAGAATATAATAGCTTGCTCTTCTGTTATTACATTGGCTTTGCAGTGTTGACTTAAGTAAAAGCACTTTTTGGTCACTAGACAATTTAGGTACGTTTTCTGAACCTGTTGCCATGGATGTCACTGATGTGTTTTATATGCTAACAGACTGCTGGACTGGGCATCAGAAAGCAAATTTATGCATTCAGAAAACTTCCAGGCCATTCAGAATACTAATAACACGGGAGTGGAATGTGTGACCTGAATGCATGGGTTACTCTTCTAACAGTACTGTGTATACCTATGCAACATGTTTCTGTGGTTTTCATCCATGAGTTTTGGAGATCTGAATGCAGCCTGAGTTCTGTAGTCTGTACAAGAGAGAGAAATAAATAAAATAATCCTTTACCTCAAGGAAATAGATTTGCTCAGAATATTTTCTGAGAATTTTAATTTTGCTGCTTACTGAAGTCCAAATTATTCTGAATTTTTACATTATGCTGAAAGGTTATATAAAGAAATCTGTTCACAAATACAGACTTCTAGACCTATATGTGAATTTTGCATTTATCTGATCTCTGCGTTTTGCTGGTTTAAATTTCTTTTTTTTTGTAGATTGAAGCTGGACAATATTGTACCTTTGTTATTTCTACGGATGGCTCCGTTAGAGCCTGTGGCAAAGGCAGCTATGGGAGACTAGGCCTGGGTGACTCCAATAATCAGTCCACACTGAAAAAATTGACTTTTGAGCCTCATAGGTCTATTAAAAAGGTGTCGTCTTCAAAAGGATCTGATGGTCACACGTTAGCATTTACAACAGAAGGGGAAGTCTTCAGCTGGGGTGATGGTGACTATGGGAAGCTGGGACATGGAAACAGTTCAACTCAGAAATACCCCAAACTTATTCAGGGTCCCCTGCAAGGAAAGGTATGTTTTGTGTAGGAGAGCACCTGTTTTTGTTCTGTTCCGTTGTGATGTTGTGTAAAACTTCAAATAGATAAAATCGTAAGAAAAAGCTCAGTGTTTTTCCTAGACTTCTGTTTGAAGCTGGGTCTGCTGTCAGCAAAACACTAGGCCTTAGGGTTGGCTCTGGGCACGTGATTTGGCCAGTGGCATGGTCAGGAAACCTTGTCACAGCCTGAAGAGTCAAACTTGCTCATGTGCATTCGTGGAACTGCAGTGACATTCTGGGGAGGAGACAGTTGCTTTTCTTAGCTGCAGTGTTAGGACTTTCACTGGCAGTTTTTTGGTGGCTTCATTGAAAAAGTGGTTTTGTGTTGTCGTACAAGGGCCTCCTTCTCCCTACCTGTCTGTGTTTTGGGCAGCATTTTAAACATCCACTGCTGCTTTTTCCAAAGCTTCTCTTTTTCCTGCAAGACTAGGATGTCATTATGTTCAACTTGCTTGATAAATAAATCATTAGCAGTTTTATGTATGAACTTGCCTTTTTATGTGCTTGTTTCCACTTAGCAAATGAGAAACAGAAAAGATTGCAAAGGTTGATTTATGTATCTACTTGATCCACATCAATGAACAAGTTAATTTGCATAGCCTGTGTCTGAAACTTGACTCTCATAAGCTTTTAAACTTCCTAGTTGGTTTGTAAAACTTAATCTGTATTTTTGCACGTGCCGCAGGTGGTGGTGTGTGTGTCAGCTGGCTACAGACACAGTGCTGCTGTGACGGAGGATGGAGAGCTGTACACGTGGGGAGAGGGAGACTTTGGGAGATTAGGTAATTTTCAAATCCATGCCATGCTGTTGGAGGGACTCCTGTGTCTGGTGGTGATTCCATACGTTTGTTTGCTGCCTCCCCTGCCGGCCCTGTCTGAGTGCACGTGCACATACACAGGGGTGTGCGTGTGGCACCTGCTGCAGGGACGCCTGGAAACTTGGAATGCAGTTCGTTTTGCTAGGACTGTTTGTTAAAAAGCTTTCATTTCAGGAAGAGTTGCTTGCATTCATTTGTAAGACTACATTTGATTGCTAATGCCACCGAAATGTAAACAGGAGACATTTGAAATAGACTGGGATTCTAGGTAAACCTCATCGAGTGTGGCGGGAGGGTGTTTCTGTGGACAGTCAAGAGTAGCTGGCTAATAATGTCGAGGGTCTGATTTGAATGTGATAATAATAAGTATACTCAACGTGAAGTTTGCCAGAACGGCTTAATATATTTTTACCTTAACACATTTAAAAGTTAAATTTAACTGGAGCAAACCCCACAGTGTTGCTGTTTGCCTCAAAGTCACTTGTTTTTTTTGCCATATTTGCTGTACTGCTGGTATGCCTGGTATAAAATCACCTTCTGGAGCAGGTTCAGTTGAACCAACAGGTTTTGCATAGAAAAATCTGTTCAAGAGAAACCTTGAGGTCCTTTCTGTTGTCCTGGCTTTGGATGTCGTGATCACCAGGTGTAGAGGGGTGAAAGCCAAGTACCTGACAGGGCAGAAGATGAGGGCAGTGCTTTGCAACTGTCACAGTTTTCGAGGTAATCGGTAGGAGTACTGAGCCTGTTCCTGCTGTGAAGATAAGTCACTGGGTTAGAGGTTTGACCTACAATTTCGATGGGAACTGTGGAAATGTTCTCCTTGAGTTTTAGGTTAATGTGGAGTTTTGATGTGCTTTGGGGAGCTTGAGTGTGCAATGGTGAGTTCCAGTGCACAGCTAAAAAGTAGCATTTAATGACTAAGTTGTTCATATGGCATCAGGCACTGATACCATGTGGTGTTCTTTTTGCCCTCTCCTCCATTTTCCGGAGTTTATTAGACATGGAAGTTTTTATGATGTGGTGGTAGTGTAATGTGTTTGGTTTCTGCAGAAAGGACCCGTTAGAATTGTGGCTGTGCAGAGCTGGCTGCAGTGTCTGTGCAGTATGTGCTGGTATTGACAGCAGTGAGCGTGAGCCCTTGAGTTTCCTCGTGCTGTTCAGGTGCCTGCTGCCCAGCGTGAGGGAGTGTAACTACCTACTCCGCTGGCATTGAGGGCACTTGTACTAGCAGTTCTTCTTATTGCTTTTCACCTTGGTAGAAAACAGTCTGAGGATTTAGTGGCAGTGAGGTGTGAGCAGGTGTTCTGCAGTACGTCGCGAGAATTAAATGTTTTTACTACAGATGTCTTCCAAACCTTACTGTGCATCCTTCCACAAAGGGGGCAGAAATTATCATTTGTGAGTATTGCAATATACATGGGGATTGCAAAATGTAAATAGAACTTAAATCTTCGCAAAAAAGAAAATATTTTTTTTTCCCTTAGGTCATGGTGACAGCAACAGCCGCAACATTCCAACTTTAGTGAAAGATATTAGCAATGTAGGAGAGGTTTCCTGTGGCAGTTCACACACAATAGCTCTGTCCAAAGATGGGAGAACAGTGTGGTCGTTTGGAGGAGGAGACAATGGTAGGTAAAACTAGCATTTGGACAGTAAATTTTGTCTTACTCTGTGTGCCTCTCAGTTTCAGTCCTCCTTGCAGGCTGGCTCTCGTTTTTAGTTGCCATTTGGTAGCTGTTCAAGGAAGGGATTCTCAAAGAATCTAAATACAATATTTGAAGTTGGACTGCAAGATTATAGAGGTAATGAAAGGATTGTCGGAGCGGGAGGGGTTTCACAGAGCGGAAAGCTCAGCGAGCCTGTGAACGGTTCTGGAAAAAATGCTGGGCTGTTAACTTCCACGTAAATTCTCTGGTGATATGACAGTAGCCATTCACTTCCTGGAAACTTTGTGTTTAAACTGCCTGGGTTTGCTATTTCAGTTTTAAAATGCACTCAAATCTGTAGTTGCTGCAACTGAAAGGGAATGCCTGTAGTATGTTTTAGTTTTAGAATTCCTCTCTGGCATTTTTGAAAGTCCTGGAAGAATTTTTTAGGGCCACTTTTAATTGTTATTTATTCACTGAAAATACCTTCTACTTGTGTTTCCTCCTTTTGCAGGCAAACTTGGACATGGTGATACAAACAGAGTGTATAAACCTAAAGTTATAGAAGCCTTGCAAGGAATGTTTATTCGAAAAGTTTGTGCTGGGAGCCAGTCTTCACTGGCCTTGACATCAACAGGGCAGGTAGGCAGAAGCAAATTCTCACTCGGGTTCTGAGAGTTGGTGAAGATGGTGTGGGTTCACATTATTTCAGCATTAATTGTTTTGACTGTTGAGAAATTGGACAACTAGAACTTGAAGGAGATGTGGAATCGGAATATTTGCTTAGCTATTACAGATTTGTTACTTATTTCTACAGTGAAGTTCTTGATTAGAGATTGAAGTACCTCATGCCCCGAAGCAATTAAAAATGTGCTGAAGAACCATCTAAAACTACACTTTCCAATGTTCTTGTTTGGCTACGGAAAATGTGTTATTCTTTGGTTACTCAAAGTAACCAGTGTAAAATCAAATGAAATCTGGGAAACGCAAAGCAGTGAAGTACCTGTAATTTTTATTACAGGTGATTGGGTGATTTAGTAGCTCTTTAAAATGCTTGTGTGCTTTGGATTATAGGTGCGAACTGCAACTTGTAGTCCGAAAGTTCCAGGAGAGCTTGGGGATGAATGGTGAGGTGGTGAATGAGTGCCCTTCCTGGCACGGTGTCTGCCTGTGCTGCAGTGAGCATTTCTGCAGCCGTGGCCTGCCCAGCGCCTTCCCCGCGTGGTGCCGGGGGCAGGGGGTGCTCGGAGGGGAGCAGCAGTTTGGGCTTGGCTGGAGCCTCCCGCGGCAGCCTCCCCATCCCTGTGCCCTGTGGCTGGAGGATCTGCAGCGCAGGCAGGACATGTGATTGCAGTTGTTGTGCCGGTGCTGGTCTGGCACCGTTTGCCCCTGGGCGGTGGCGGTGCGGATCTGACCGCGCGTGTCGTGTGGTTGCTCTGCCCTAGGTGTACGCGTGGGGCTGTGGGGCCTGCCTTGGCTGTGGCTCCTCGGAGGCGACCGCTCTCCGGCCCAAGCTCGTCGAAGAGTTGGCTGCTACGAGGATAGTCGACATTTCCATCGGGGACAGTCACTGCTTGGCGCTTTCTCATGGTAAAACCAGTAACGTGTAAAAACGCGTAATCCTCTTGAGCAAAGGAAGTTGTATCTCACGTTTTGTTTTCTACTTTATTTGTATTTTGTAGATAATGAAGTTTATGCTTGGGGTAACAATTCAATGGGACAGTGTGGTCAGGGAAACTCCACAGGTCCCATTACTAAACCGAAGAAAGTAAGTG